GCAGGCAGATCGTGGGTTGGGTTCTGGATCAAGGGTTGAGATGGCTAGTGGCTTGAATTGTGAAGCAGATTTGGGGACTCTTTACTAGGTTTTTGCTGAACTTCCCCCTAGCCAGGTCCTCTGGAGAATGAGAGAGAAGGTTTTTCTTAGCTGCTTTTGTCTATTTCTGTTGGAGGTTGAAGACTGCCATCCTCTCATGGACCTGGTCTGGGCATGTAGGGACTCACCATTTTGTCATTCCCTGACAAGGTCTTTAGCCAGTCCATCTTTCCAGCTTTCAGAGTCTATTTAGTGCTGTCTGTTGGATAATTTCCAGGGTGTTTAGTTCTGTTTAGTGGGGAATACGTTTAGGTTTATTTAGTTACATTCAGTAAAGAAAACGGAGTGAACTCCGTCTTGTTTTGGAACCAGAAGCCCCATGCACATATTTTTAACCATCAAAGAGAACTATTTCCATTCATTTCTTAGCAAAATCTCTACAGTTCAATACTTTTTTTTTTAAAATGTAGACCCATAAATCTTGCTGCTGGAGATGTGTATAGGAAATCAAAGGATAAAAAATATCTACCTGAAGGCTGTCTGAGTTGAGGCTTTTATTAGTTTGCTTGGGCTGCCATAACAGAGTAATGCAGACTGTGTGGCTTACACAACAGAGCGGTATTTTCTAACAGTTCTGGAGACTGGAAATCCAAGATTAAAGGAGTCAGCAGGTTTGATTTCTCCTGAAGCCTTTCTCCTTGGCTTGGCCACCTTTGCTCTATGTTTTTCTCACGTGGTAGCCCCCCCCGCCACCCCCCGTGTGCATTTCTCTCTTATAAGGACACTAGTCTTACTGGATTAGGGCTCCACCCTTATGACATCATTTAACCTTAATTACCCCTTTACAGGCCCTATCTCCAAATACAGTCACCTGAGAGAGTTAGAGCTTCAGCATAGGGTTTCTTGGACTACAAGAAAAGGAAACCCACTCAGGATAATTGAGATGTTCAGTGTTGGTTCACCCTGTACATAAATCAAATGGGAGCTCCTACGGGTTTCTCCTGGAACCTCAGGGCAATGAGTGTAGTGTAGTCAGGCCTCAGCAAGGGTGAGAGCCATGGACGGGAAATCATTTGGAAGTAAGGCAAGTCATTCTCACTGTCCCTCCCTCCCCTCTTCTCCTCTCCTCACATCTCTCTTTCTCTGCAGATGGGTTTTCTCTGCGTTTCTGCTAACGGTAGAAAATGACAACCCATATCACTCCATCACTCAAATCGAGCACCATCGGAAACAGTCTAGGATAGCTGCGTCTGAAATCTAAATTCCTGAGCAAGAGAATCTGACTAACCAGCTTAGTCTGGGGCCCTGGTCAGTCCAGGGGCAGGGTTCCGTCTCCTGCTGCCGCCCAGAGTTTGAGGAGCAGGCGGCCTACCCCAAGGATGGTGTCCACAGAGTCTATGCTGCTGAGGGAATGGGAAGGACCCATGAGGGCAAGAGAATATTATACATGTTCAATGGCATAATAATCATGAGCTAGGTAGAAACATGCGAGATGTTAGGTAAAAAAGCAGAATGCATTTCACATAAATGTTTTCTAGGATTATGACCAACTTAAAATATGTATACTATAAAGATTAGAAAGAATAAACAGTTAATATAATTATTGTGTTGTGGGGTGGCATGACTCTTTATTTTTTCAAACTTTTCTCAGTTTAAGTTAGTTCACTCTTCTGAGCAAAACAAAACAAGAAACTGACCTCTCTATGGAGCAGCACTTCTTTCAGAATGGGGGATTGAATGAACTCCCCTTAGTTACCCTGTGACTCATTCCTGTGGTTCTCCATTCCTCTTGCCCTGGCCTTTGGGGAAAAGTTTAATAATATGATTTTATGTTAAAGTGATACACAGAGACTGTGACATTAGCTTTATCATAAATTTAGAGCAAAGATGGCCAAGAGAGTACATTTCAAATGTCAAATTCAAGTGATTGATCAGTAGAGCCTATGTTGACACAGATCATGGAAGATCAGCAGAAAGTATGTCATGATCAATTAGTAATGTCTGCTAGGGTTATGGGAAGGAGAATTGGACACATGCAATCCATAGGACACACATGCAATCCATTTGCCATCCTTGATTTTTGACCACTCATTCTTGGCTCCAACCTCACTCCACAAAGGTTTAAGTCTTCTCACATCCTTTTTTTCATGACTTGTTTTTCCTTGCAGATTATCACCTTCAGGGACTACCTGCCCATTGTGCTAGGCAGTGAGATGCAGAAGTGGATCCCGCCATACCAAGGCTATAACAACTCTGTGGATCCCCGAATTTCCAATGTCTTCACCTTTGCCTTCCGCTTTGGCCACTTAGAGGTTCCCTCCACTGTGTCCCGCCTGGATGAGAATTACCAGCCATGGGGTCCGGAAGCGGAGCTCCCCCTGCACACCCTCTTCTTCAACACCTGGAGGATAATCAAAGACGGTATGTCCTTTCGGGGACACAGTATCACCTGGCTGTCTCACTCTGTAGCCTGCTTCTAGAAAAACCTGGTGTGGAAGTCAGGCTTCCACCACTTCCTGTGCGACCTTGGGCAAGTGACTTCACCTCACTGAGCCTCAGATTCTTCGTTTATAAAACGGGGACACTAATAATACCTATCTCACTAGGATACTAATGAAATGAAATATATATGTATAAAGCGCCCTATGGTGGCTCCTGACACACAGAAGGTGGTCACTAAGTATTAGTTATTATTCTTTCTTTCCTGCCCTGGCCTTTAAGGTGCCAAGTTTTCCCTGCTTCCTTTCCCTCCCTCAGGCATGCCTGACCCTTGCAGAAAGAATTCCTGTGTCCAGTAAATAAATAGGGCTTCCCCGGGCAGCTCAAATGGTAAAGAATCTGACTGCTGTGCAGGAGACCTGGGTTTGATCCCTGGGTCAGGAAGATCCCCTGGAGAAGGGCAATGGCGCCCCATTCCAGTATTCTTGCCTGGAGAATTCCATGGACAGACGAGCCTGGCGGGCTATAGTCCATGGGGTCACAAAGAGCCAGACACAACTTAGTAGCTGACACACACACAGTAAATAAATTGTGATCTTCTGCTTTTGTCTATAGCTTTCCACCTCCATTAAGTGCCAAAGGTTGGACCCCACTCCCCTTTATCCTGGGCTGGACTGTGTTGAAACTGGCTTTTACTTAAGGCCTGACAAGTCAGGGCGTTTCTAGAGATTTCTGCCATCTCTTTCATGGTACACAGTTCCTTCGGGGACCATATGGAGGAGAAGGAGCCAAGTCTCTGAACGGGAACTTGGAAGAAACCCTGAAGCTTATGCTCACGCATCACGGCAGGATGGCAGGCGGTGTGGACGGGCCTCCAACCCCCACACACCCTGTGGGCCGCACTGGGCTCTTCTTTCCCCACTTCCAGCCCCAGAGGGGCAGCTGGCCCGTCTTTCACCTGAGAAAGAGAACCTGTCAGGAGGAGGGTGTGCCCGGCAATGGAAGATGTCCCCAGCTGCCCCACCCCTAGCATGGCATCTGGGTTTCCCTTGCAGGTGGAATTGACCCTCTGGTGCGTGGTCTGCTGGCCAAGAAGTCCAAAATGATGAATCAGGATAAAATGGTGACGAGTGAGCTGCGCAACAAGCTTTTCCAGCCCACTCACAAGATCCACGGCTTTGACCTGGCTGCTATCAACTTACAGCGTTGCCGGGACCATGGGATGCCTGGTGAGTGGGCCCAGGGTCCAGCCAGGCCTGGGGAATGTTTTGCTACTTTCTGGGGTTCCCAGGGACTCTCCTCTGTAGCCCTGAGAAGCTGATCAGTTCTAAAACAGAAGGCAGAGATGCCTGTTTTAAAAACTCACCTGTGAAATGGCATCTTCCAGTGTTCCTAAGACAGAGGCCAGAGAACATATCTGGTCCTATTCCCAGGCTCCTCAAATGAAAGAGATCAACCACTGACTTGTGAAACCAGTTTAAAAGTCCAGAAAATATTAAGAAAAGAGGGAAAGCGATGACTACTGGACCTTCCTAAATGTAGAACTTTAAGAGCCAGACTGCCTGGTCTCAAATTCTAGCTGTGTGACGTTAGACAAGTGACTGAGCATCTCTGTTCTTCAGTTTACATATGTGTACAGGGCTTAGAGCAGTGCCTGGACCCACAGTAAGCACCACATATCCTGCTGGCTCCCTTGAAGCCCAAGTGCCACAGGATAAAACAATGGCTCACTGCCTGTCTGTTCCCAGAGGCTGTGAACACAGACTCTCTGGGGCTGATGGAGCTGGAGTGGGCATGTCCTCAAAGGGTATAAGACAGCTTCCACCTCTCTGCCCTAGGGTACAACTCCTGGAGGGGCTTCTGTGGCCTCTCACAGCCCAAGACACTGAAGGATCTGCAGGCCGTGCTGAAGAACAAGATACTGGCTAAGAAGTTACTGGATCTCTACAAGACCCCCGACAACATTGACATCTGGATTGGGGGCAACGCTGAGCCCATGGTAGAAAGGGGCCGGGTGGGGCCTCTCCTGGCCTGCCTCATAGGGAGGCAATTCCAGCAGATCCGTGATGGGGACAGGTGAGTGAGACCTCAGCACAGAGGGCAGGGAGGGAGGCCCTTCTCGGAGGTGGACATTGGGGTGGGCGTCCTGCAGGACCGATGCCAGACCTTGGCATGTTCCCAGGGACCTCCTCCCTTCCCCTTTGGCAGAGTGGGAAGGGGCCAGCAGCTGGGCTGCGTGGAGACCCTGCTTGTGTCTCTGCAGGTTCTGGTGGGAGAACCCCGGGGTCTTCACTGAGAAGCAGCGGGACTCTCTCCAGAAAGTGTCCTTCTCGCGCCTCGTCTGTGACAACACCCACATCACCAAGGTCCCGCTGCACGCCTTCCAGGCCAACAACTACCCACATGACTTTGTGGATTGCTCAGCCGTTGATAAGCTGGATCTCTCACCCTGGGCCTCCAGGGAGAATTAGGGGCCCGGACTCCTCAGCCTCCCACACTGTGCAGGAGAGCTGTCCTTGGCCATGATGCCATTTCAAGTAGACTCGGTGAGCGGCCCCTCGGGCTCCCTACCCCGTCCCAGGCCTCCTTCCCAGCTGAGTCTCTCTACACGCCCGCACGCACACCCTGCTCAAGCCCAGGGCAGCTGCCTTGCCTCTCCAGCTCTTCCTCTGGAGTCCCACCGCTCCACCCGCATCCTCTCCATCTTCGGAAACCATCCTTCTGTCAAGACTTACACCCTCCAAGACACCTTCCGATCTTGCTTGCCAGATGTCACCCATCCTTTCCCCAGACAAGTCTTGGCTGAGGCTGTGGCCTTGACACCGGTATCTCCCCGCCTTGAACTAGATTGTAAACTTCTTGAGCTGGGCCTTCAGCCTGCTTCCACGCGTGTCCTGGGGCCCCCAGCATAGTGCTTGGCACACGGTGAGTGTTCAATAAACACCTGATGATTGACTACAGATGCTGGCGATGACCTTGTTCCCCTCTGGAAGGCAGGCCTTGGAATCACTGCCAAATGAGTAACGGTGTTTACAGTTCGGACATGTCTCACCACGAAGAGGTCACATGCGTGAGTCTAGGGAGTGAGAGGGCCCGGTTTGGTCCCCTCAGCTTCAAAGCGCTCTCAAAGAAAAGGAGGAAGGAAGGGGCTCCTGCGAGAAGGCATGGCCGTGGGGTGGCAGGAGAGCTTTCAGGGCATCGCCACAGGGGCAGAGAAATCCAAGCCTGGATTTCCCCCAGAGCTAGTTTGGGGAAATTCCGTGGCAATCCAGTGATTTAGGACTCCATGCTTCCACTGCAGGGGACACAGGTTCAATCCCTGGTCAGGGAACTAAGATTCCCACCTACCATGATGTGCAGTTAAAAACAAAAGTTAATTTCTTTTCCAGGGGTCCTTCAGGGAAATACCCTCTTCTTCTAGGTTAGTCCTGGGAGCCTGTGAGGCCTCTGGCCAGCAGCTCCAGAATATTCCTAGTTTGCCACCCAATACACACTCATGAGTTCTTTCTCAAAGACCCTCCTGGGTAAGGTCAGCCCAGTGGGGATCCCCAGGGCCCCTGACTGGCGGGGTGGGGGTGGGAGGCCTGCAGCCATCCTACAGGAGAGCCAGGGAGCCAGAAGACCTGGGCAGCCCTGGCTCTGGGAACCCCTTCTTGGAGGTCTCATGAGTCCCTTAACCCCACCGGGTCCCTTCCTGTCCTCAGTGAGAGGGGGCTGAGCAGGGTTTCTCCCACTTGGGGGAGGTGCTCATGTGCGGGGCATCCGTGGGCACACGAGCTTCACATCCTTTCAGGCCCCAGCTGTGAGTGCCCCCCTCCCCAAATGTGGGAAGAAGGGAGATAACGGGAGGGAATCCACCAGGCAGGCAGAGGGATTAAGTTCCAGGCATGCTTATCAGGGGAGTCTGCTCCTTCCCCTCCCTCAGCCCCGCCTGCTGTCCTGGTCTGGGCACCCAGCCATGCGAAGGCAAGACTGAGAAGTCGTCTACCGTCCTGGAGCCTCTGACCCACAGGGCCAGCTGACGGAGTCCCCAGGTGTCTTACCACCTGGGCAGGGAACCACCTTCCCATCAAACTCCTGCTCTTTCTCTCCTGAGTGCCCTCTGTTTCCCAGCACTTGGCACAGGCCCGATGCAGAGCGAGCATGTAGCGAGCATGTAGCAAGCGTGATACTTCCCGGGGCAGTGCACCAACAGAAGGGCTTGGTGCCCACGGTTCCCATTCTCCAGGGAAGGTGAGGGAAGAGGGTCTGCTCAGTTCGGCCTGCCTCCTAGGCATCCAAGACTGACGGCCTTCCATGTATGAATCAGCCCAAGGAGAAGGCCTGGCCATCCTCACCCCCAGTTTAGAAAGGGCCCAGACCACTCTGGTTCAAGTTCAGAGCCCAGAGCAAGCCTCTTGCTGAGGGTCCAGCCCCACTGCAGACACAGAACAAAGATCCTCATCTGCGGTGCTTTATTATCATAGGCATCAGGTATAAACAAATGGTATAAAGCTGCTCTCCAGGCAGCTCCTATGAATAAGCAAGAGAACAGGGTAAGGAAGAAAAAGGGGAGCCGTGAATGAACCTGGCAAGCCTGGGCCCATAACTCAACCCATGCACAGCCCAACTGCTAACAGCCACTCCTCCGGGGTCGTCACTCCTCCAGGGTCGCTGGTTCACCTCTGTTAACAGGACACAGTCAAGGTATAAGCTCCATGAATGCAGAAATGGTGTCTGACTCTTTCTGTGTGTTCCCCATGCCTGCCATAGTGCCTGGCAGGTAACAAGTGCTCAATAAACCCAATACTAGAAGATGCAAACAGACCCTCTAAGGAGCCATGACAGCAGTTATTTACAAAGGAAATTCAGGCTTCGCAAGGTTGAGGAACTTGTTCAAGGTCACACAGCTGGTAGGCTGCAGGATCTGTACCCAAGCAGTCTGGCTCCTTAGCCTGTGCATCTCACCAATCTACTCTGCTGCCTTCCACACACCTAGCATCAGCAAATACACACTCACATACACACAGCACACAAAACTACCCACGTTCACATGCAACACACACAAAATGCAATTTCGATTCACTGTGCACACACACACACACACACACACACACACACGAATGTCTAGTTCTTACTGGTGTCTTTGGCTGGCACCCAGAACAGGGAGGGGCTCACCTAGAGAAGGGAGAGGTCTGTGGCCCCAACCGGCCAGCCCAGAGATGCCCAGCCTTCACTTCCCCGCTGCCCCCCTTACCCTGCCTCTAGTTCTTTTCCCTCCAGGGAGCCAAGTCCAATGCCTGGAGCCTACTGCACTGGACAAAGTCCCGAGGGAATCTGTTGGACATGAAGATGTTGTTCTTGGACACGACGGTGATGCCTGTGTTGTCACAGATGATGCGGGGCAAGGAGATCCTGGCCAGGGCCTGCTGCTGCCGCTTGCTGAACACGCCCTTGTTCTGCCACCAGAACCTGCACGGGAACACCCATGGCCACTGTGCCTGAGGCCCTCCTGGGCTGGGAGGACACCCACTGGCTGGAGCTGTTCCTGGGTGACAGAGGACCACAGCGGACAGCGACTCCATGGCACAGGAGAGTTCCAGGCCCTCGGGCAGCCCGGGGCAGGGAGGGGGGGATTCAAACAAATAGAGCCCCACTCACAGCTGCCCAGGTGCCCCCCCAAACCCGCTCCCATCCCAGCAGCCTCCAGGCATCTCTAATGACAGACGGGCCCACTCCCCCATGAGACCCTGGGCCCTGGACAGGGCTACAGCCAGGCGGGCAGACGGGATCTAGGGAGTGGTGTCTCCTTTGTCCACCCAGAGAGGGACGCCTTGTTAAAAAGTTTCCCCAAGGCACAGCTCAGGCCAGGTGAGAACTGGGTGTGACAGAGGACAGGCCCACGGTGGAATGAAAACAGGAGCAGCGGCAGGGTGAAGCAAAGATGGGACCTTCCAGTGGAGACTGGTGGCCCCGTGACTGCACCCGGGACCCGGAGAAGCAGTGACTAAGGGTGGCATTTTCTCTCCCCGCTCCTTGACAACCACAGGTCCAGATAACTCCTTTTTGCACCCTCAACAGCTTCAAGGTACATCAGTGATGACCTTGAGGCTCCCCAGAACACACTGGAAAATCACGGACTCCTTCCAGCAGGAGGAAGCTGGGGGTCCCCCTGAGGGTCAGGGGCAGGCCCAGAGTTGCAGGGCCTCTGTCCTCACCGGTCACCGTCACGGAGATTCCTGAACTGGGTCCCAATGAGGCAGGCGAGCAGCGGGCCCACACGAGCATTTTTGTTGAAGGGTTCAGCCACGCCGCCCATCCAGATATCAATGTTGTTGGGCGTGTGGTAGAGGGCCATCAGCCTCCTCGCCAGGTTCAGGTTCCTCAGGACTGTGCCCAGCTCACCCACCGTGTTGGGCACTGGGAGCCCACAGAAGCGCCTCCAGGCATTGTACCCTGTATGGGAGGAGCAGAGGGTGGTTGTGGGTGGGTCCCAGAAAGGCCACCCTCCCAACACAGTGAGGCTACATACAGAGGTCCATGTGGGAAAGGAGGACACAAAGCGGCTGCTACCCATCTATAAACCCCCAGGGAATCCTCTGGCCTCCCGGGGAGCCTGGGTGCAGTTGGGTCTCTCCAGGAGCCTCTCTGTCTTCCCCTACCATTCCCACTCTAAGATAAATCCTAAATGATCATCACTCCTGCTGGGTCCAAGAACAGAAGCATTTCCTTGCCGTCTGTGGAGATCTCAGACCCGCGATGGGTGAGGTGTGTCTCGAAGGATCAGCCCCATACCAGCTGTCCCACAGCACAGGCATCAGCAGGATGGTAGGCTGATCTGGCCTCCCATTCCAGCTCTGTCCCTGACTCGGCTGGAGAATCAGGGCAGGTTCAGAATTTCTCCAAGCCTCAGCTTCCTCGTCAGTAAAATGGTGGTGGTTTAGTCACTAAGTCACGTCCAACTCTTGCAACCCCATGGACTGTAGCCCGCTACGCTCCTCTGTCCATGGGATTCTCCAGGTGAGAATACTGGAGTGGGTTGCCATTTCCTTCTCCACATCAGTAAAATGGAAGTGATAATAATCTCCTCCCCTCAGAATCCACATAAAACGAAGAAAAATTGGAATAGGACTGAGACAGGTTTTCAGGGCAGTAGGGGCTTGTTGTTATTATGGTGATACCCTAAGTTGGGGGGTTCCAGCAGCACAAAGGAGGTGGAAGGTGCTGGAAATGGGGCAGAGGGGCCCAGGGACAGGTAGGGGCCTGACCTCAGGCCGCATCCTAAGAGCGAGGTTCTGAGGGTTGGGGGGGTGTTGCCCCGGTAGCTGGGGGCACTGGAGAGGGACAGGCGGTGGACTGGAAGGTGGGTGGGCCCGGGGGTCCTGGGTGGGCCCGGGGGTCCTGGGCAGCCCCCTCACCAGGGAGGCCGTGGTCGCGGCTGCGCTGCATGTTGAGCGCGGGCAGGTCCAGCCCAATCCTCATGACCTGCTCAAACAGCCGCTCCCGGATCTCATCCACCGCGATTTGGTTCTGGCGGTTCAGCTTCGCAGGGGTGGCCATGAGGCCGCGCAGGATGGGGTCGATGCCACCTGGAGCAAGAGGAGCACGCTGGGGGAAGGGTCCGGCTCGGTATCGGAGCTCAGACTGCAGCGAGCCGGACCCGGGGGCAGTGGCGGAGAGCGCTGAGCACACGTGGCCCCTGGCGCCAAGACCCCCCGGTGGGCAGATCCTCACTGAGGCTCTGCGGTCTCGGGGATGAAGCCATTCACACTAGTCAGGCTCAGATGCTCCCAGCCCCTGGCCTCCCGGGTCCCTGAGGATCACAACGCGCAGGAAGGAGCCCGCTCCCCGGAAGCCGTCTCGCCCCACTCTCTTGTTCCCTGTGAAAGCAGGCCGGAAATCAGATGCCCCGAGGACGGAAGGAAAGACGATT